GAGCAATATATGCATCAAATAAGTTAGTTTGCTTTCATGCCAGTCTGTCCACAGAACTATAGGTTTTGTAACCTCATATGCCAGAGGCCTGTCATTTTATCCATTATATACATACTCAAACTGTTTCATAAGTAATGTAGCCCTTCTCAGTTTTGCCTAGAGTAAACTCGTAATTTTCTGGGAATTGTTCTGCAACATTTGGACTTACCCTTTTCCTAAGATGCAGAATCATGCAGGATGGAACTCCTCCCTCAGCACATACCAAACAAGAATGACTCCTCAAATACCATTTTCTTGCCTCTCTCTGCTGTGACTCTTTCCTGTTTTGGTGATAGTGAGAAACCACTTTCATCTATGTTGAAGTTTCTTTTGGAATTATGTAATGGGGGCATTTACTGCAGAAAGTAGTCTGGAATCACTATTAGATCAGCTGATTTCAGCTGTTAGACTCTGGATTTCTGTGTGTTAGTTCTCATAAATTTAACTAGATTTTACTACCTTTCATTGTTATCTAAAGCACCTTTAATGTTTTCATCAGTATGTGTCCTTTGAATCTGTTTATTTTTTCCCTCTCTCTGTTTTGAAACAGACATTTTTAGTTCCTATTATCAAGTATCATTTATTCTCACATGGAAAATTTGGTTTCTCTTTTTTCTTCATTGCCTAATAGGTATGCAGTGTGTAGTATCCTGCCTAGAGACACATACACACTGCATACATTTTGGACCAGTTGTGGGAGGTATATCCATTGAATAGCGCTCCAACAGCTCCAAAGGAAAATTTCTTCATTTCTTCCTAACAATAGAGAAGGCTCAAGAGTTTCATGTCAGGGGTCACGTCTCTCTACCAGTCACCTGAAAAAACAGCCCTCTCTAATAAGTATGCACCCTTGACCAGGCTTAATTCTTTGTTTCCAAGTAGATCTGATTTGTACTTTTAATACCTACCATGATTAAATCAACCTGCAAACAAAAAGAAATCAGAACTGTAAGGTAAACACATTGCTTTTTGTAAAAAAATGAGTTTCTTATCTCTTCTTCAAGAAAATGAGTTTCTTATCTCTTCCTCCTTTCAGATTAGGTTTTTACTGTAGTTGATGGGAATAGGTTTTATGTATACTGGTCAATTTATATTTAATATTCAAACATATTGTCATATTGTGAGACTCCATTTTTGAATGCCAACTGTGTACCTATTGGATAGCGTGCATAATAATTGGTTCCCTTGCCCTATTGGGAGAGTTATGTAAGTTACTGACTGCTGAACCTTCATTTGCTACACCATATCATCTGATGGACAGTGGCTGGATTGATATATTCCATTGCTGTTCTTAGTTTCCTTTAGAAAATTGTGTCATGGCAAACCCAGAAAATGGCAACATTATCGTGTTACTTCTTGTAGCAGAACCAAGGTAATAGGATTGGGTTACTGATAGTTAGTGGCTTACTTAGAAGCAATATAACCAGTTTATACATGTTACTGATATATGATATAACTAAGTTAAATATGAATATTATAAACATAGGTTGAATTACTGTGTGGAGGGTCTGTAAGGGTCCACTTGCAGTTCTGAGAGATTTGTGGCCGGAGGAGACTCAGGGAAGATGAAGGTCATTTCAGGGGATTGTGCTAAAAGGGCAGCCCCAACAAGCAGAAGTAAGTTCAGTCAAATATACTTTGATTTATCTCATTTGTCTCAGGTTTATGCACTGTCCACGGCAGTTTATGATGAATTTTGGTCCAGGCAAGTGTTCAGCCACCAAGGAGTCAATTGTTCTGTTTTATGAATTTGCATAAAAAATCTAATGATATTAATATCTATACTGTTATTATTATCATCAACATAATACTTTTCAAATAGTAATAATGAAAATAGTAGAAGAGTAAAAAGGAATCTCAAAAAAAATCAAGGAAAAAACTATAAAAATGAGAGATGTAGGAATAGGGATTCACTCCTTGGCTATGAATCACTTGTGGAGCCATCTCTGGGGAAACACAATAATTAACGGCAATCATACTGGCCAGGGATTGTATTTTTGCCCTGCACTCCATTAGAGCAGACATCACTACCACCAGCCTTGACATGGCCAGTGAGTCAGACCATCCACTTGTACTTTTCAATTGCAGGTTGAGGAGGCAGAAGATGCATTCACCAAGATGAGCTGAAAGAGAGAGGGTTAGTACATCTTCAAGGATATATATATATATATATTTTTACATATAATAAATGTATATGTATATATAAGTACATATGTATATATGTATATATACATATATGTATGTACATGTATACATATATACACTATATACTTATGCGCGTGTGTGTGTGTGTGTGTGTGTGTGTGTGTGTGTGTGTGTGTGTGTGTGTGTGTGTGTGTGTGTGTGTGTGTGTGTGTACATATATATATATTTATATATATATATATTTACATACACACACACACACACACACACACACACACACACACACATTTATATTATACAGATAGTCCCCTACTTA